ATTGAACCCATCAGTATCGATACTAGCTCAAGGGTATCGATACCTTCCCTTGAGTATTGATACCAAACAACTTAATATAACCATAAAAGAAGAGGTAGTAACGATACCCCTATGGGGAGTATCGATACTCAACCCTTGGTATCGACACTCCTATAAGTATTAGAACCAAATTTACATTTTGGAAGATCGATATCGAAACCACTCCTTCATGTATCGAAACCAAACACTGAGTATCGATACTTTATGCATGAGTATTGATACCACTACCCAAAACCCCTTAATTTCATGCCTTGCATGAGAACAGTATCGATAATATTCCTCTAGTATTAATAATGACATACTAAAATGCCATGTTTGGGCATATTGAATCCTTTCTAAACACTCTAGAGGCTCTAAGGAGGTCCACAAACGTTATTAGTGTCTTATTTGAGTTTGTTATAGTCATAAGGAGTCATTATAACACTTAGAAACACATAAATCCATGATTTGCCATAAACATTCTTATAACCTCCAAAAGCTAATGCAAGCTACGTCAATGCATAAAAAGGGCTTACAATTGGTTTAGAAAGGTTAGAAGGGTGTTACCTTAATGTCTCGATAGCTGGAAAACTTCTCAATTCACCCAAGAGTCAACTTCTCTTTACTCCTTGCTTTGGAACCTTCTCCAACCACTTTCACTAACATAACATAAAAGTGGTATTACTAGCTTGATTATGGGACATTTAGGAGTCTAAAAACACTTTCTAAGCTTCATCTTACCCCCAAAACAAGTTAGAATCTCCTAAGTCCTTAAACCACTTCTAAACCCATTTTTGTTTCAAAGCCTAAAACTTGATATATGAGGATTGAAATGAAGCTCTTAAAATGGAGAATAACTTTCTTACCTTAGATAAACCAAACTAAGTGTTGAAATCCTTAAAGCTTCAATCTTTGCTTCACTTGAAAGAGAGGAAAATGAAGAGAGAGAATAAAGAGAAGAGGAAGAGTGTTTGGTGAAAAAAATAGGGTGGTTCACGTTGATATCATAGAAAATAAGCGGGTTTTAGCTCTTGCTTTGAAAAATGGGAAATTTACACTCTAGGTCCTCTTCCTTTTATTTCTATAACACTTGGACCAAAACCAAGCCCAATTCTAACTTAATTAGATCCACACTATTCTAATAAGTCCTTTGAGCTCTATTTATGGGTCTCGGGTCAACCCGAACTACTAACCCGAGATTTAGGGTATTACAAATCGAGATTCATACTCCTACGAATTCACGCTCTTCAACACCCATTTCAAAAACACAAAGCCACTCGATGTTGCCAAGGCCACCACCAACTCAATCAAATCTTTGATTTCTATTTCAGTAGAAAGAAAGAGAAGTCACCACTTACTCTCAAAATGGAATTTGTTCGTTCCTGATTAAAATTTTGTTTAATTGACCTACGTCATGATGTCAATAAAGAGCTAACGTCAGAGTGATTAAAAAATACGACGTATAAATTCAATATTTAAATTGAAATTTTTTAAATTACAATGAGTGAAATATAAGAAAAAGCAAACTTTAATTACTAAATTTATAACTTACCCTTTTTCTATAAAGATTTTTACCATAATAATCCATTGCTACTTTTAAATCAAGTTGTGAGTTCAAGTATGTGCTAATTACTTTATATGCATTATTTAAAAAAAATCATATAAATTTTATTAATAAATATGTAAAAGTTTAAATAAAAAAAAACATTTTTCTCTTCCTTTCTTCTTATTATTTCCTTTTATTTCCCCACTCCTTCTGACCTAATTTTACCTACACACACTGAAAGAGAAGAAAGGTGAGTGTAATTAAGGGTGTTTATTGAGTGTGCCAATCATGAATTGAATAGTATTTGACTCGTACTCGTTAGTTAAAAGAATTTGTTATTTGATTCGATTCGTTACTCATGAAACTTAATAAACTTTGACATGACTCTTGCTCGTTAAAGAAATTTGTTGCTCAACTCGACTCGACTCGTTACTCGTTAAATTCACTAAAAAATTTACCTTCTTTTTAAATTATATATAAAATTTAATAAATTAATTATTAATCCAGTATCTTTCTTGTTATTTATTAAAAAAATAAATTAGTAGTAATTTGTAATTTAGCATTTTTCTTATTAATTATTGACAAATCAAAAATTATTAATTAGATTTTTTTGATGTAATAATTTTTAAGGTAACAACTAAAAAATTATGAAAAAAATTAACGAATTGTTCACAAGTTTATCAAGTCGAGCTGGATCTTGCTCGACTCAATTCGTTAAGATCTCGAGTTCGAGTTTGAGCCGAGTGAATCCGAATCAAACATAATTGAATTTTGACCGAGTCGAATTCGAATAACTCACAAACTATTCAACTGATTAAGCATCCCTACACGCAATGTATCAATATGTAAGCGTTACATATCTACAATAATTCATGCAGTTTCTTTTTATATATGGTTATAGATTTATGCAAAACCGCTTACTTTCTAAAAGTAAAGATGAATCACAATGACGACAATCATTATACGTTACATTACGTTCGTAATATTTATAACTGTAACATTATAAATTATATGAATAATATTATAAATATAATTTAATATTATGACTTTAAATACATTATTTATTACTTTCAAGCAATTGAATGAGTTTAATTAAAATACCAATTTGACAAACACATGAATTATTTAAAAATAAAAATGCTTCATATAAATTTATATTAATAATTTTTCCAGATTTTAAATAATAAAAAAGCCATTTTCTCTTCCCTTTCTTCTCACCATTTCCTTTTCTTTCCCACCTGCTTCTACCCTAATATTTGCTTACACAAACGGCAAAGAAGAAAATAATCTAAAATACAACTTGTTAATAAAAGATTAAAAAATATACATAAATAAGTTATAACCGAAATTGTTACTAAAACGCTAATTTTTTAGATTGGATAATGTAACAATTTAAGTTAAAGCCGAACATATTATGTAATTCGTAATATTTTCGGTTACAATAAAAATTATTCTAAAAATATTATAAATTATATATTTTTTTATTGTAAACCCAAAACTCGCAAAATTTAATTTTTTTCCGTTGTAACCGAAAATGTTTTGAATTTATATAACCTTTTAGGTTGAATCAAATAACATTTAAGTTGAAAATCGTCTTAAATTAACCTTAAATTAATTCGTCGTACATCGTAACTACTCGAAGAAAAGGCCTTGTAACATATCAATATCCAAACGTTATAGATCTACGTAATTCACGCATCTTCTTTTTATATATGGTTATAGATTTATGTATGACTGCTTACTTTTTAAAAGTTAAATATCAATTACGATCGTGATAGTCATTATACGTTACGAAACGTTCATAATATTTATAACCGTAATACTATAACTAATTCTTTTACATTATAACTTTTTTTGAACAAATTACATTATAACTATAATTTAATATTATGACTATAATTGCTTTATTTTTATTTTATTTACTATATGTTTGTCTATGTTTAAAATACTTCAGAAAAATATACAAACCCCATCAGATATTAAATAAAAATAAATAAAATGTTATGTGAAAATATAATCTTTCTAAAATGAATTTGAATTAATAATGTATAAATATAAATATATTTGAATAAAATTTGAAAGCATCTTTTAAAATCAAACTTAAACTGACATAAATTATGTTAGGATAAATTACACAATTTTCATTGAATTGTATTCTCTCTTATTTTATTTATTATATTTTTAATTTTTCTAATTTAATCACTGAAATTTTGAATTGTTCTTATTTTGATCACTCTGAATTATTTTATTATTATTATTTTTGTATGACATGATATTTTTTATTATTTAATATAAAATAATTTAAAATATAAAATAAAAATAGAATGTGACAGGACATCACTGTCGGTCGCCGTCAACCATTATAGATGGTTGTCATTTGGTTTCAAATTTCATGGGTTGCTTCGCCTCAACACCGTGAGTCCGAATCCGACTTACATTTTGTCAAACTTGCTCTAAAGTTCACAAATTAAAGATTGAAAGTAATGAAGCTAAAATGTTTCAGTCGAACTGACCTGTGAAATTTGGGATTGAACGATCACCATCTAAGGTGGTTGACGATGGTCAGCGTGGTGTCTGACCACCTTCTGGTTTTTTTTATTAAATAATAAAAAATATCATGTCATACCAAAATAATAATAAAATAATTTAGAGTGATCAAAATAAGAATAATTCAAAAGTTTAATGAGTAAATTAGAAAAATTAAAATTACAGTAAGTAAAATAAGAGAAAAAGAGTATAATTATGTGAAACCCATGTTAATACCTAATATTAACCTGGCCCAAATTTCACTTGCCACGAACATATATAATTTTTAATAATTTATAGCGATTATAAGGTAATATTATTTTAAAAAATTTAGTTATTGATAATATATATATATATATATATATATATATATATTATAGATTCAACTACTAAAATTTAAAATTTCTAAAAAGTCGTAATAATTTATTTTATCTATATAACTTGAAAGGGTTGTATTATTTACATCATATTTTATTTTATATTATAGTATAATTATTATCTTTATGTTTAAGTTCATGTTATATAAAATTTGTCAGTCTTCGTTATCATATCTTAATTTATAATTTTATCTCACATATTTATTTAATTTATAATCTCATGCATAAATTGAGTAATTTTAATGATTAAAGTAGTAGTTGTTATTTCTAACAATTTTAAGTTTAAGTATAAATGATCGTGAAATATTTAAACGTTTATTATTATATAATTATGAGATTTTAATATAGATACTACCACTATAATTACTTTAATTAAAAAGATTATAAATATAATGGTTAAGAGAGATTTTACAGATAGATTTTTACAGCTGGGAGGCGAAGCACGTGGCAGTCTGTGGCTGAATTCACTTTTTACTGCCCTATGCATGCCACCTACGTCACACTAATCTAACCACACACCCCCCTTTATAAACCCTCCCCTCCCACTCCACCATTTTCAGACGCTTCCCTTCTTCTTCTTCCCATGGCTGCCTCCGTCGATCCTCTCGTCGTCGGCCGTGTAATCGGCGATGTACTCGACATGTTTGTTCCCACCGCCACGATGTCCGTCTACTACGGTTCCAAGCAAGTAACCAACGGCTGTGACATTAAGCCATCCATCAACCCTCCAAAAGTCGCCATCGATGGCCTCCCAGATCAGCTTTACACTTTGGTTCGTTTCCCTTTTAACTTGATTATCAATTATGTTCGATTAGTGTTTGTTGATATGTCCGAGTGAGAGAATATGATGCATGCTGATGATTTTGAATCAGGTGATGACAGACCCCGATGCGCCCAGTCCCAGCGAGCCCAGCATGCGTGAATGGGTTCACTGGTACCTTTTTTCTGAGCTATTATTTTGTTTATAATCATGTTGTTCATCATCTTTCGTCTCGTAAAACATCACCCGATTGCTTTCTTCCTTGTTTCATGATTGTTTCTGACATTCCTGGAGGAACCAACCCCACTCGAGGTACATATATATATATATACATATACACCTACATATATGCATAAGTTTGCTTATATTTTGAAAGCTTTTTCATTCAAATATCTATGAACCTAAAATGATTAATTTGCATAATAATTTCCAGTAAGGAAACAAGTGCAAGGAAAATATATTTTTAGCAGAAAGTGGTAGATACTGAAAGGAAGTATTATTATCCTAGGAGATATCGGATTTGATAAGTTGCGTTTGCAGTGTGTATGCTTTTCTTATTGTCAATCGACTAAAAAATTTGAACATATATTTTTTTACACTAATAAAAAAAAAGAAAAAGAGAAAATAACGGGTGACCGAAAATGCCTTATAATATACGATTTTAACTAATTTTTTTTGAATTTGCGAAAATGACCAATAAATTCGCAACGCGAACTCCAATTTCGCAACACAGTTTCCAAATACGCAACGCGAATATGTAAATCGCAACATAGTTTCCAAAATTATGTTGCGATAGTACTGATTACCTATATTGGTAATTAGCGTCGCGAATTTGAAAATCGCGTTGCGATAGTACTGTTTACCTATGTCGGTAATTAAGTTGCGAAATTGGCGAATTTGATTTGCGAAATTCGCGTTGCGATAGTTGTGTTTACCTATATCGGTAATTATCATTGCGAATTTGAAAATCGCGTTGCCATAGTACTATTTACCTATATCGGTAATTAGCATTGCGAATTTGAAAATTGCGTTGCGATAATACTGTTTAGCTATATCGGTAATTAGCGTTGCGAATATGAAAATCTCGTTGCGAATTTGAAAATCGCGTTGCGATAGTACTATTTACATATATCTGTAATTAGCGTTGCGAATTTGAAAATCGCATTGCGATAGTATTGTTTACCTATATCGGTAATTAACGTTACGAATTTGAAAATCGCGTTACGAATTTGAAAATCGCGTTGCGATAGTACTGTTTACTTATATCGGTAATTAGCGTTGCGAATTTGAAAATCACGTTGCGATTTTGGAACCTGTGTTGTGAAATTGGAGTTCGCGTTGCGAATTTGTTGGTCATTTTCACAAATAAAAAAAAAGTAGGTTAAAATCGTATATTCGATCACTGAAGTTATTTTCTCTAAAAAAAAATCTTACCTCCCCTCGTTTTACAGTTTTGTTTACTTTGATTTTATGAGATTAACCCAATTCTTGCATGCAACCCTAAAGTTTTGAAAACATTTTGCAGCAGAGTACATGTTGAAATATCTGTGCTGCAGCCTGCGACTGCACTGCTAAGTAAAGATGAAAGATCCAATACAACCTTAACAAATGTTGTTGTCCAAAACCGAAATTCCCTCACTATGTAACCTAAATTATCAGTGACTCACCCACTGCATCTTGCATGTATAATAATGATATATAAAAATTCACTTAAAAACCTTATTGGCTGTTTCTCAAACACGAAAACTTTTTTCCCTATATTTCTTTTGTATTTGCAATTGCATGCATCACGGGTCTGACGCATGGTTAGTTGTTTGAACAACAAGTATCATCCCATCTCTGATTTGGATTCTTATGCGCCACGTGTCATGTAACCACACTGTCCTCGTGGCTGCGATAACAAAAATATTGTCCACCAAATATATATAATATAGTTTTTAAATTTGATAATGAAGTGATGATTATTTCAGGGAAGGAACTGCTGGCTTACATGGGGCCACGGCCACAGGTAGGCATTCATCGCTACATACTGGTGCTGTTCCAACAGAAGGGTCCGCTGGGTGCGGTGCAGCAACTGGCGTCTCGGGCTAACTTCAGCACTCGGTTCTTCGCCGACCACCTCAACTTGGGACTGCCCGCCACCGTCTATTTCAACGCCCAAAAGGAGCCCATCAGCCGAAGGCGTTGAGTTGAATCCTCCGTTGCTCTCTTTATATATATTTAAATATAAAACTGGTTTGACTGTATGGGAGAGTAGTGTGGTTCAATGGTAGTAGTTAAGTATAGTTTTATGTGAAGTAGTTCGCTCAAGTGTAATGTTAAGTTGTATGTCACTTTGCTCGGCTTATATACTCGACTCGTCTTCCTTGTTCTGATTCGGGTCAATCAAGTCCTTAAATTGTACCTTTTTATTTGGTAAAGTTTAATGTATATGTCGTTTATATAATATATTGGGGCGCTTGTTGTACTATGAACACGATAGTTAATCATTAACATTCTTTAGCCATCTAAAAGCGTTAGATATCTTTGAATATTTTTTTAATATTATAAAATACTATAAGGTATTATTTATTCATAGACGACACAATTTACAAATATTTTTATTTAAAAGATACATTGTGTAAACATACACAATTTGATAATATATTTGAATTAATCATTGCTATCCGATCGCTAATATCTTTGAATTAATCATTTGTATCCGATCTATTGATCGATTAATTCAGATTGGGTACTGCAGAGGCGAGGGCGACCCTCCAACCCAGTTTGCTCTATTCGCAAACACCAAGATTCAAACCACTGACCTTGCTTAAGAACCTAGTGTCTCATTTCACTAGACCAACTGATTATCGTGGAATAATACCATTTTCAATCTCAAATAATATTTTTTTAATTACTTTTTTTATCAAAATAACGCCAAAACAACTTTATCTACTAAAATAGTATTCTTTTGGCAAAGAAGCTTCCGACAAAGATGTATCATGTTGGAAGCATCTTTGAAATATTCGTTTTGTAGGGCACGCCGGAAAACCTATAATGATGATGATGTTCTTCGATAATATAATCTACTAACCAACGAATGGAAACTTCTGAATATTGAGCTAACAAAGCTCAATAATACACATCAACTCCACTATGTTACTTTTAATTCATAAACATAAGCAAGCTACTTAGTATAAGCAGATAGAGATAGGTATAACATACAATGGTAATATACTATTATTAACGTAGAAGATTTCTTATTCATATGTTCGTGTCACAAATAATCTCATAGCCTCGAACACAATTTTGGGAGTCAAACACTAACTTTTGAAGTAGAGAATATCGATATCAAGTATAGGATATCGATCCTTAACTTTAAGATATCAATACTTACCTTGACTATCAATACCAATTTTAGGTTCTGTATATAATTAATTCTCGTGAGTGCAAATACTCTTATATCAATATCGATACTCACCCCTTGGGCATCGATACTTTACTCAAGTATAAATATCGTTTTTAACTTTAAAGTTCTAATAAAATACCTAGTATCGATATCCTACTCTTAGTATTGATACCGTCATAAACTGTACATATGCTCTATGTCATTTTTCTCGTATTTCTTTATATATTCAAAGGTACTGATATTATTCTTCGAATATCGATATCGAAGCAAAAAAAAGATCACTTTCAAGTTCGAAAATCACTCTAGAGCCCCTTTAGACACTCTAGTTTGTTTAAGTCCTACTTCATTTTTGAAGTTTGTGTAGGTAAATTGGGACCATTTATCATATTTAGAACATATGTCAACACACAAATGACACAATTTGAATTTGAAGCATGCATCAACACTTAAAACACTCAAAATGTTCATTCAAATAACAAAGCATTACATTTAGGAAACACAAGTAGCACTTCAAAATTTATGTGTTCTATCTTAATACTTCTAGGCCTATTTTATTTGTGCGACATAAGCCACCGTTAAGGAATTTTAGTTTTTATTTCCACACATGGTTCAATCACACACACTAGGTCATTCCTCATTTGCTTCTAACTCAAAACTCCCATTTCTGGCTATTTGAGCCTAATTAACACCCAATTAAGCCTAAATTTAACCTAAATGATTATAATTACATATTCTTATTAAGAGGTTGGCCTCTTACATAAACTCTCACATATTAACTTGAAAATTTAAGGTGTAACCCCTAGACCCGGCCTAGCTGTTACGACCAAATCTAGGAGATCACAAATCAAATATAGACTTTCTTTTTCAAATTTAAAATTCACTTTGGTAAATAAAATAAATAATTCGGTATTGTGCGAATTAACCATCAGTAATATTCATACGATAAACATAATAAGTTACCATCATCAGAAAATAAAATTCCGGTAATACAATATACCAAGGAAGTAGTGAAACACATGTCACCAAATATATCAAAAGAGGCATATAAAAATATACATAAATCAAAAGGGAGAACGGTCGATCCTTCATTTGCCAAATCTGCTAACCTATTATCATATAGTATTTGAAAAGTAAAAAAAGCCTCCTTACGGTACATAAAACATTAAGATAAATATTTTTTAAAACATGATCACTACCCCCATTCGTACACCGAAATGTGTAGGTTCCTCTGAACCATACACCCACATGTACGCCTAGAAGGACCTTATACTGATAGCATAAGGTATTGCAGTAAGGTCTTAGCTTGTGCACAAAGTAGCGGTACCTACGATAAGGTCTTAGTAGTCATAGATTATGCTTGAAACATTTCCTCCAATCATACCCACCCAATGATAGTGAGAGCAATAATTTAGTTTACAAAACATTAAATAATGCCAAAATCCAAAATCAGATACAAAAATATTGTAACCAGATATCATGTCAGAAATATACAGAAACCATATATCAAAAGTCAAGAGATGCAGTAAACAGATGTCATGCACTCTGAATATTAAATATTATCATAATTTTAAAACAGTTCAAACATATAGTTTAAAAACGGTACTTTAAAACTAGGAACACACCTGAATCAGTATGAGAAATCTAGTACGGTAGCCTACTAACGAGTCTGCCTATCATGGTCGATGGCAATGCTAAATCATAAAAATCAAAAAACTAGGTCACAAATCTAGTAATAAATAATAAACCCTAAATAGGTAATTTACAAAAACATACAGTTAGACCTCGAAGAACGTACGTCAGGCTGATCAGTCAGACAGGAAGCACCTGATCTATTCGACCCTCTGTCAGAGAAAATACGAGTACCTTCATGAAAATATAATCAAAATTCAAATTCATAATCAAATTCTAGATAAAAAAGCAAAAATACTAAAAATAGTAAGCATTTTTTTATTAACGAGCTTGAATCAAGGTTTTGGATCATAATTTAATGAAATAGACCAAAAAATCAAACTTAGGACGTCGAAAAACGTCAAAATAGAGGTTTTAGAAAAAAGTCAACGCCAATCAAAGTCAACAACAGCGGTCAAACGAGATGGTCAAACAGTGATGTCTAGGCGCAACACAGTGCGGTTCAGCTTGGGTCAGTTCAGGAAATGGGTTTGGGTTAGTTCAGATGCAGGTGCGGATCGAGCAAGTCAGCGGGTCAGGTTGACCCGCTTCTAGATGACTTTCAAAGCATGAACAAGCCCTACGCACAGCGACGGTGCGAAGGGGCGTGTGCAGAGGCTAGGGCGGCCGAAAAAATTTATAAAATTAATTAAAAAAATATTTTCAAGCTAATAAAGTCACTTACCAAGATCGTTTCATTATGGTGAACGATGGAGAACTCAATTACGCGTCACCGAAAGTTTAAACACTCTCACCTCCTCATAAGCCGACAATGGAGGTTCGAAATCGGTATCTGTGGACTCAAGATGATGAGAGAAACACAATGGCAGGGGCATTGTTGAAAATATAGCGATGGCCAGCCACGAAACAAAGTTTGAACGTGGCTTAGAGAAGAAAGATAAAATAGGAAAGAGAGAGAGAAAAAATAACGAAAAAAGGGGGTAGGTTTCCAAAAAGGGTTTGGTCCAGATTTTATGGGATATAATTTTGGGAAAATAGAAAAATCATTCCATAGGCCATTGATCTTTCAATATTTCCAGAGTTGGATCTGAATCTAGCAGAAATTCCATTTTAGTATCTGACTTAACCGAAATTCAAACTTAATCCGAAAATTAACTTAAGGAAAAATCTAGCACAACTCTCCCCTTAAAAGAAATTTCATCCTTGAAATTTACTTGATCTGATCAGATGCAGAAACTAATCTTTCAACGACTCTAATGTCTCCCAAGTAGCCTCTATTTATACATATCAATCCATTAAATTTTGATTATGTAAAAATTAAGTAAGATTTAATTTTAAATAAAAATAATTATCATAATATATATTTTCTGGTCCAATATTTTCAGAATAATAGTCATTAAAACTTAATTATATTTGAAATTAAGATAAGTTAAAATTAGTATAAAAAACTCTATCAATACTACTTCTAAAATTTAAAATACGGAGTACTTAAAAATATCAATTTTTGTTATTTAATCAATAAAATTAAGGGTAAAGTATATATTTAATACCCTTAATTATCATTTTTGTTCCATTTTAGTCATTCAACTATTTTTGTTTCAAAATCATACTTAATGCTATATTTTAGTTATTCACCGTTAAAAAATTAACAGTGATATTGACTTGTCACCATAAGATAATATCACATTATTTTTGAAAAAAAATTAAAAATATTACGCTAGTATTTCTGTTGACTTTTAAAGGTGGGAGACTATTAGATATGATTTTGAAAAAAATAATAATTACATGACCAAAACAAAACAAAATGATAGTTAGAGTGCTAAAAGTTTAGTTTACCCTAAAATTAAAACTTTACTTTGAAAAGCATCAAAAGTCCTATTAATCTAACCAATAAAGATTGATTTATTATTATGAAGTGGTTGAGCAGAGCGGGAAGTCAAATCGGATTGATCCTCAATTACGTTTTACCCCTCGACTCCGAAATAAACCCCCCACGCCTCAAACCCTTTCAGTAGCCAAAAAGTAAGAGACCTGTAGAATGGCATGAATGTAAAAAAGCTGAATCGATTAGAATAATATCGTCAATACATTTTTTTGATCTTTTGAAATTAAACCCTCTTCTCCCTCCCTGGATATCTTTTCTCCGCTTTCCAAAATTCAACGCCCTACAGATCTTGTACATCTTTTCTTTTTGCCAATGGCGCACGATAGTATCCAGCTTCCCTGCGGTAACGACGGCGCTTGCATGCGCTGCAAAGTCGCCCCTCCGGCGGAGCAGACCCTCACTTGCAGCACGTGCGCTACTCCTTGGCATGCGGCCTGCTTGATTTCCAAGCCCGAAACGTTGGCTTCTACTCTGCAATGGCACTGCCCTGACTGCTCCGGCGACGCTCTTCACTCAGCAGCGGCCGCCGTGGATGGGAGCTCTAGCGAGCTTTTTGCAGCGATAAAGGCGATTGAGGCGGATGAGTCGTTGACGGAGAAGGAGAAGGCCAGGAAGAGACAGGAACTGTTGGGCGGGATTGTCGAAGAAGACGGAGGGAAAGAAAAAGAGGAGAAGAGTTCTGTTTTGGATGTTCTTGATGGAAGCTTAAACTGTTCGTTTTGCATGCAGTTACCTGACAGGCCTGTTACGGTTCGTTTTCCTCATTTGCTTTTCTCTTTTCAATGTTTTGCTTAGAAATGTTAGGTTCCTTCCTCGTTCATTATCTATTGCATTTTAGCTACTTTTTCGTTTTCCTTGGTGATCCGTTTTTAAAGATTTATTTAGTTATTATTTTGATTACTTACCTTTTGATTTTTGTTTTTTTAAATTAACATTTTTTATTTAGACGCAAATTATATTTTTTTAACAAACAATTTTTGTAACAATGCATATACTAATCAAGCCCCTATTCACCCCCATAAATTGGATTATATGAGTGCTTAAACATGTTCAATCTCACCCTATATTACATGATGAAACTATTTTATTTCAAATCCCACTTAAATATTTAGCACTAGAAGGCAATCTAGTTTGCAATTATAGGTGACGCTACTGTTTTGAGGTGACGCTACTGTTTTGAGGTTCATCTCTTATCATGTTTGGACTACTTAATTTGAACTACTCTGTTCGTTTGTACGATTAAATGTGATTATTGTGTAATTTTAGTACATATTTTATGGTGATATCTAAATGGCAATGGAGGTTTACTTTATACTTTTGCTGGGCAACGCAGTTAGACCATCTCCCCTGAGGGTTAAATGCTCAACTGTTTTATCACGTTGAATGTTGATATGTGTATCTTTTGCATGTTGTTTCAGACACCATGTGGCCACAATTTCTGCCTTAAATGCTTCCAGAAGTGGATAGGTCAAGGAAAACGCACTTGTGCAAAATGCCGCTCAACAATTCCCCAAAAATGGCGAGCCAGCCTCGTATAAATTCTACGCTTGTATCTGTTATCAGGATGGCAAAACTATCAAAATCAAATGCTGCTACAGGGCCTCTGAAAGTTTTCCAGTTTATACACAACCAAGATCGACCTGACAAGGCCTTCACTACAGAGCGAGCAAAAAGCTGGGAAAGCAAATGCTGCTAGTGGGAAGATATTTGTGACTGTTCCACCTGATCATTTTGGACCAATTACAGCCCAAAACGACCCAGCTAGGAATCAAGGTGTGCTTGTTGGTGAATGTTGGGAAGACAGATTAGAATGCCGGCAGTGGGGTGCTCACCTTCCTCATGTCGCAGGCATTGCTGGTCAGTCTAACTATGGTGCTCAATCAGTTGCACTCTCAGGAGGTTACGAGGACGATGAGGATCATGGAGAGTGGTTTCTCTACACAGGAAGGTTTGTTTCAAGGGCTAGATGTATTAGTAGTATGCCATCATATCATTTTCATTGCACATGTTTATAAATTTAAGTAGATTGATGTTTTGTTTCAAGAATAATCAGTATAGGGTGTTAGCATAATTCTTATCTTTTATCTCAACTTTAGAAGGAAACTCAATTCTTTGAAATGGATGGTGAATTCAAATTTATAACTCTTGTAAGGATGTTTCTAGGAGGCCTACATGTAGATTTTCATTGTCCTTTCAAACATTTAAATATTTAATGTCATTTTTAAATTAATATTGTACTTTATAATGAAAAATGGGTACATGACCATGAAGTGTGGTAGATAAAACAATGTTTGTGCGGCTTTTTTGTACATGCTATATGTTTGTAGTTGCTACTTTCTATTTTGGGGCCTTAGAAGAACTTACAGATCCAGTTTTGCTGCTTAGATATCATTATGACATTATCCAATAATCCTGTCATCTTTTCAATGTAAGTGAATTTTTTTATTGACATTTATTCAAGCCAGATATTTGACTATTCTTTGCTTTTATGGGTGTTGATGGCAGTGGTGGTAGAGATCTTAGTGGAAATAAACGAACGAACAAGGAACAGTCTTTTGATCAAAAGTTTGAGAAGATGAATGAAGCATTGAAAGTAAGTTGCAAAAAGGGTTATCCTGTTCGAGTTGTAAGGTAAGTCTCATCACTTGAAGCTTGATTTCTGTTTGTTTTTATAAATGGTCTGTGCATGTAAGTGCAAATGGCAACTGAAGCTTCAATAATATGGGTTTGTATTTTAGTTTTATGGTTCAAGTGGCTATGATTATTTTACCTTGTTGACGGGGTCACTTCTTGTTACTTGTTTGCTTGTTGAGTCAATAGTCTTCTCATAGCAGCTACTTTAATGATATTTTACTTTTTAACAGCTTTTTTTCTCTTGATGTGTAGGTCACACAAAGAAAAACGATCTTCATATGCTCCGGAGAAAGGGGTGAGATATGACGGAGTCTATAGAATTGAAAAATGTTGGCGAAAGGTTGGAATACAGGTATCATACTATCAGATACATCAAAGTTACTGGTTACGTTGAGCGTTTGTAAATTAATTTACTGATATGACCTTCCTCCTTTAGGGGTTTAAAGTTTGCAGATATTTGTTTGTCAGATGTGACAATGAGCCAGCCCCGTGGACAAGGTTTTTGCCTTTCATATGCTTAAATGGCCTCCTTTCCTCTCTTCTTTAACTCCGCTATAATTTGTTGAACTTCAATGTAGTGATGAACATGGGGATCGACCTAGGCCCCTACCAACTATTCCTGAGCTGAAACAGGCAACTGACATATATGAGAGAAAGGAGAATCCATCGTGGGACTACGATGTAAGAGATGTAGTTTGCACTCAGATTTCTATATTTCGACTGTTCTGTTTCTAATAGGTTTTAACTCTTAGATAATAGTCAATCTTAAGACAAACATGTCGTGTTGAGCACAATATGTCATTTAAAGCTAGAAAAGATATCTTAGAACATTGTTTACTGGTGAAGTTAAACAGTGAACATCTTTTATCTTTTTGGCGTTTGATCTTCAGTATGACCTAAATTTGGTTCCTCTTTCCATAGGCTTCATATTTTTCTGATGTGCTTATGTAATTCTTAATTCAATCAGGAAGAAGGTAGCCAATGGAAATGGAAAAAAGCACCACCTCCTAGCAAAAAGCCAGCAAATGGAGCTGATCTTGAGGAAGGTAAAAGGACAGGGAAAACTATAAGGAAAGCACGCAATACAAAAGAAAGACTCCTGAAAGGTTACTCTTGATTTCCCTGTCAATATCTGCATGTATTGAGTTTCCTTGTGATTAAATGATCCATTGATATGTATTTATTCCTAGGTTAAACTGGTGGGTGGCTGAAGATAAATTGAGTTCCATTTTATGTATCAGTGATGATTTTGGATTTTGATGAATGTGTACCTTTAATAGTCTTCTGTAGTCTGTTTTCATTTTTAACATGGCATTAGTAGGAGAGAGCAATAGAGGAGCAGAGACCAGAGAGAGCATCATTCACCCCTGAAAAAACATTTAGTTTGACTTGATATGCTATATGTGCAGAGTTTGGTTGTCTAATCTGTCGTCGAGTTATGAATCTCCCGGTTACAACTCCCTGTGCTCACAACTTCTGCAAGTCTTGTCTTGAGGCTGCATTTGCTGGTAAGACTGCTATAAGAGAGAGGAACAAAGGAGGCCGGGCTCTTAGAACCCAAAAGAACGTCCTTAACTGTCCTTCTTGCCCCAATGATATCTCTGATTTTCTTCAACATCTTCAGGTCTGGCATGAACTTACGTTTCATTTCTAATTTTCAGAATGCATTATGTTGTGCTTTGCTTTGGGGGAATTTTAACTCTAAAAAGGCATGATTTTCTGTTGCTTCAAGAAAGATGGTTTGAATAAGTTTACTGAAATTATATATCAGGTCAACAGAGAATTGATGGATGTGATTGAGTCACTTCAACAAAAGAGCGACGAGAATGAAGAGCCTGCAGAGGAGTTGAGTGAGGAACATATGAATGGTTTGGTTGAAAATACAGACGATACTGGTGATGGTGAACCTGGCACAAAAAATGAAAAAGCTGATGCAGAAGACGATTCACATAATCCTCTACCTGATTGTGAACCGAAAAGTAGCAAGAGGAGCAAAGTGGATACTGCTCAAGTAGCAGCTGATGAAAACGACCCTTTGTGAAGCACCCACCAGGTACAATACCTTTTTGTCTGTTTTTTTTTTTTGTGCTGAAACATTTTGTCAGAAAATTAGAGGGTTTTTTTCCCCAGTTGTGGTAGTTCAATTTCTCAGTTGTATTCTTTACAAGAATAGGACTGGACTGGTAAACATTATCAATTTAACATCAAAATTCCTGCCAACTCAAAGTATGTGTAAACACTAGACAGTTGTTTCGTTCGATGCATTTTGTTGATCATGGAATATTTCATCCCTCTTTTGCGTTTGCTTTGTGATTATTTATTGGGAGATTTGGTCTTAATGAACTTTTACCGTGCTTGATTTAAATTATTTGATCAATGGATTGGATATTTAGGTGATTGATACATATTGGGAGATTTCTGGATGAATTACACATGTAGTGCCCAAACTATTACTTTTATTTACTAGCGTCACAAGAGTAATGCCACCTAATCCAGACCTCAGGTAAATACTAATTGTGACCTGATCCAAAACTTTAGGAACTGTGAATCATGATCACAAATTGTTATAACAAAACGTATTTAAGCTTGAACTCAATTATCAATCGATGTGTTCATTTCTATGATTGTCTAGAAATTGGACTTTATCTCCATTTTCAGAGGGATTAAGGGAAGTATCAAGGCGACCAACAACGGGATACTTTTCGATGAATTTAGATTCCCAGTCATCCAACACACCAAGCTCCTCGGCACTCAATCCTTCAAGGTTCCCCGTCAGGTCTTCGGGTTTGAACGACAACATCGCCAACGCCCTACTTGCATCCCTCCCCGTAAACATCGAATATGCACCTCCACGCCCATAGAACATCCTGGAAAAAATCCATAACACCACTTCAAATCACATTTTCCCCTAATCAAACAATCATCAATTCACAAACATAAAACCCATCTGCAAAATCTTGATCATCATGTTAATTCAATCCAAGGTAAACTATATTTTAGTCACTTTGTTCTTGTTCTGTTTCAGTCATTCAATTTTCTTTTACGATTTTGAGTGAATACATTGAAGTATCTATTCAAAGATTTTTAATCATTTAACAATGAAGCTCATATCCTAAATGCAGAATATTACAATATTCGAATCTAAGATATTAAGCAATAACAATAATCATTTGACTATTGAAGTCGTGTTTTTCATTTAGATTTCACTTATACTATCGCTAATTTAACCTTTTTAAATAGTTGAACGAGTAAATAGAAATCAGAATAATAATTAGAGTGATTATTACTTGGAGGAAGAGACGTCGTAGATCTGGCCTTTGATGGCGATAAGGAGAGGTTTTTTGGGGTCGGAACCATCGTAAGCCCTTAACTCTGATTCCGCAATATCTCCCACCTGAATCGTCTCTTTTTGTTCCTTTTGACGGAAATCTTCGGGACCCAAAAACATGCCGCTCACTAAATTGTAGACAACCACCATCATCGCAAGGATCGTGAAGAACGCCGTCGGGGATAACCCTGTAACCTCCGTCACCGTCTCCATCACCGTCGAATAAATACCCATGTTGATTTCTCTTTGAAATTCTCCGGCTGACGAGTCTGGGTTTCCTTTTGTTCCGAGTTATTTGCAGGAATTTGTAAGATGAAGGGGATCAAAGTTCACCTACCAAAGGATTGACCAATTCACCAATGGACCCACCCGACCGACCACCACCTTCGTGGTTCGGTACCTCTCTTGTATTGAAGGTTGGCTTAGCTATAAAAAATATATTTTATAATGTTTTTAATTTGAGAGGAGACGTACGAATTAATTTATCTCAATAATTAAATAATTAAAAGAATTATTGATCTTCTTCGAGATCACGAGTTTGAATACTAATGATTGTTATAAGATGATTGATGGTTCAAAATTATTTATAACAGATATTATTTTATAATTATTTTAATTTAATTAAAAGAATTAAAGAAGAGACCAGTTCCATTGAAAATTTTAAAATATTTGAATTCTTCCGATAATTTATTTTAAGGTACTCTATATCTCAATAATCACTTTTATTTTATTTTAATTATTTTTTTAAATTACACCTAAATTATTGACCAAAGAAGAAACCTTATGTAATTTTATGATATGAAAGACATTTTCCATCAAACAAGTTTATTGTTATTTACATAATAATATTTTTATACCTTTAGGTAATAAAGCCAAATTCTCTAATCCTAAACCTAATTTCAACGACTTTTCTTGTGTTAAATTATAGTTTTGATTTTTGTAGCTTAAAATTTAATTTTTATATTTTATCTTTATATAATTTGATTCATTTATTTTTGTAATATTATTAGTATACTATTAATTAATTTGGTTAAAGAGTTGATCTAATCTTCTTCACAAAATCACCCCTTCCAATTCATCACGTTGACATGAATTTTTTGAAATCTTCATGATATTTTAATCCTCAAAATTTATTTATTTTGTTAAATTAAACTATTCACAATATATATATATATATATATATATATATATATATATATATTAATCTATACATTTTTACAATTTTCATTGTTCAATTGTTTCACTTTTAAATATTTTTTTAATTAAATACTTATAATATTTTAAATGTTATTTTTTATAACACCCTAAATTAATCAAAACAAATTGAAAGAAAAATAAAATTTTCAAAACAAGAAAACATATGCATATCAGCATTTTTTTTATTATATTAGTCATTTAACATAATTGATAACTTTATAAAATAAAAAATAAAATATATTATCTTTTAATAATCTTAAATGAACCTTACAAGTAATAAACATATTTTAATCTTCTTTAAGAATACCATAGTTTATTCTCCTAATAAACCTTTCAACTAAGAATTTAAATAACAATTTGTTTATTAGAATAACAATCGTTATATAACAGTAAAAATGTCTAAATCCATTATTACATAACTATGATATCCATGATAAACATAATAATACACACCATTATTATAATCACAATAAAAAAATACATTATCTTTTCTAATCATTTATGTACTAAATAATGGGTAACTCGTTTTTAATAAAACTATTTAAATTAACCACAATTATATATTAACAATTAAAATTAGTTGAGTTAAAGGCTTTAATAACAAAATACTTAAAAGTATATTATCCTTTTCATTTGAGCAGTTAAAATATTCTTTTATCAAAATAAACACCTAAAATGATATTTTTAATCAAAATAAGTATTTAAAATATTTTTGGTTAAAATAAAATACTTAAAATTTTTTTTGGTCTAAATACTTATAATATTCTTTAATTAATGATACATGCCAACATTTCCAAAACTTAGATAAAACAATTTGAATAGTTTAAATACTTATTTTGATTAAAAATAATTTTAAACATTTATTTTGATAAAAAATTATTTTAAATATTTAAATAAAAATAGATATATTTAAACACTTATTTATGATACAAGTTCAAATTAAAATATAAAAAAATCATACACCTAAATTGGACAAAATTGAAAAGACAAGAAAACTAAAATAAATGCTAGAGAGACCTCAATCTCTATTTTGTCAATGTGTGATGGTTGGCATATTTTTGAAACAATGGTGGTTGGAGTTACCGATTTTTAGAGATGACAAACGGGTGGGTCGGGTGCGGATACCCCATCCCCATACCCACATACTATTTTTCAATCCACCACCCGCCCACCATCCATGATGGGTACAAATTTTCAAATCCACATCCGCCCACGCGGGTACATTTTCAAATCCATCCTCACACCCACTACCCACTAGCGACATACCCATCTAGACCCGCCTGACAACAAACTAATGAGATGTTGGAGTTGGTTCCCAGACAGTTCGTGATGGGGTAGCAACGCATGCTTCAATTTGTCAAAGGAGTTGCTCTACAAATGTTATGGAGACATATTATAGGGAGCATATAGTCGCAGAGCTGGATTGTTGTGTTGCTTTTGATGTTAATGCTCATAGTGCGCCTAATATGGGTTTTGAGGGGCTAAAGAACATGAAAACCGTTGCTTTTGATGTTAATTCTTATAGTACGACTAATTTGTGTTTGGATGGGCAAAATGGGCAACATGGGCTAAAGAATATGGAAAGTGACGTGGTTAGTGAGATTATGAGTTTAATCAAAGAGCCGAATATTTCCCTAATTAAATACCAGATTAAAGACTAAATATCCTTAATATTTAGTTAAATTATATGTTATATATTATATAATATTAAAATTTATAAATTAGTCTCTAAAATTACACCTAAATTCATAATGGTCCAAAATTTAATATATATTTAGCTGGACGGGCGGATGTAGGACGGGCGGATGCGGGGCGGACGAATACGGGAAGAATAATGTCTCAAACCCATTACCCGCCCACCACCCACGACGGGTACCACTTTATAAATCCACACCCGCCCACTACCCGCTAAAATTATACCTATTCCCGCTCCAATTGGAGCGGATGCGATGCGAAATCCACGAAACCGTACCCGTTTGCCATCCCTACCAATTTTATTTTTTTAACGATAAAAATTATCAAAAATATTATTATTTTTATTAAAATTATTATTAAATATTTTACCGACTTTAGTAATATATCCAATAAAACATTAGTTTTTCTATCGAATATATTATCAAACTCGATAAAGTATTCAATAATAACAAAATTCATAAAAATAATAATATTTGTGATATTTTTTTATAATTTTATTAAAAAATAATAACAAAACCTATATCACATTTATTTAATCGTATATTAAACTACCACGTGAGACCCCTTGAAACAAGTGCAGCAGAATCTAACCACAAGATTTTCTTTCTGACATCTCCATTTGGGCTTTTTTACCCCATTGACACCGTTTGTTTTTATTTTTATTTTTCTAACACCGTTCCACCAATATTTTCAAAACTAGCACCCTTTCTGCTGAGTTGGCAAAGGCGCGTCCCCGGGGGCGCGCTTTACCCGGTTTTTTCGCTGAGTTGGATGCCTCGTGTGAAAGGCGCGTCCCCGGGGACGCGTCTTTGCCTACTCAGCAGACACGTATTTTATTTTATAATAAATAGTTTATTTTGATTATTATTATTATAAATTAATAATATATTATGTAAAATGTTTCGATTATAATGTAAGAATTATCAAGTTTCGAGTATTTTTGATTTTGATTATCGATCTATTAATTTTATCAGTTAATTATTTAAATGTTATCAATCTAGTCATCTCATATCAATATTTAACGAAAATATTGATGCATAAGTTAATAAATTAGTATAATTACATATTTAATCTTCAAGACTTACATATTTTATAAAATTAGTCTTATTGAAAATTTAATTTAATAAATTTAATCCTTCAATCAGAACATGAAATGTGTCATCGTATACATAAATTTTTTAATAACTTTTAATTTGTTTAATTTAATATTTTTCTACTTAGAAGGTGGAATTATTATTATATTTTAAAAAAATTATAACTAATAATATTAAATATTATATTAAATAAATATATAAATATTTATGTATTTAAAAGTTAAAAAAAATTATTAGGTGTACATACATTGACAAATTATATAAATGCAATAACATTAAATTATTAGAAATAAAAACATTCATTTAAAAACTTTAATTACATAAGAGTTAACGGTTATATGATAACAGAGCTGGACATTTTTTTCTATTGTGCCCGATGTTTCTACAATGCCCACATCGTTTTTGTTCTGTTGACTTCTCCCGAATATCCATATCACAATGTATTCTAGTAGATTTTGGACGACCTGAGTCCCTCAATAGCAATGGATCTGGGACAATTGTAAGCCAAGTTGAATCTCATTTGGGTCTCTTTCGTTTCCTATGGGCGGAAACTCAAATTCATATACCTTGAAAACTTGTGAAAGTTGGTATACGGGATCAACATAATTTTTGTAGTCCAAATGCGAATGTGAGCAAGCAGCAATGACATGAGAGCATGGATATTTGAGTGCTTGAAAGAAACCACAATCGCACCACCTCTCTTGCAGATTAACTCTGAAAGAGTTAGCTTCAATCCCTTGCAGCGGACGTGGCATTTCGGTTACACGAAACAATTCACGGGTGCGAGAAAATTTGTAACTAACATCCCATTTGATGTAGCCATTTTTTCTGTAAATCGGCTACTAGTCTTGGGTGGTAAATATGTCCGTTTTGCATCCAAGTAAGAGCTTGTCCACCGAGTTTTGCAAAGAGTTGACCCAAACGAAAATAAGTCGTTTTGACCAACGCCGTGACTGGTAAATGACGCGGCCCCTTTAAGGTTGAATTTATTGCTTCAGCCAAGTTTGTTGTCATATGACCATAGCGATACCCCCCGTCATATGCATTTGTCCACATTTCTTTGCTGATGTCCATAATGTACTCGCACCCCTTCTTATTTTTGCCAAACAGCTCTTGTAGCATCGACTCAAACCTTTGAGGTAAGAGTTCTTAACCTAAGTCATTAGGAATATGTAATAGTTAATATATAGTATAAATAAGTAATAAGAAATTGATAGAAAAATTGGGAAAAAGTAACATACTCATCCGCACGACTAACTGACGTTCATCGTTCTTCTTGTATTTTCCGTAATAGTTTGCAGCAATATGACGGACACAATAACGATGTTGAACATGTGGAGGTCTATACATTGTACCCAAAGAGTCCATTGCTGCTTTTATCCCGGCTCCTCGGTCTGAAATAATGCATA